TTGCCTGAGGGCTACGGTTGTACTGCCACTGCAGCACAGAGACAGAGCCCTGAAGAGCCCTGCCTGCAGGGGAGCGTGGTTCTCTATCAGCGTGTTATAGTGTCCTAGGCATGTTAATATAAATATTAATATGAACTGCATGAACTGCAGTTGTTCTAAAGCTTACATCGCTTGCGTTTGGCTCTTGGACTTGCGTTTGGCAACTACATAAGCAGCTTCTAAGAAGAGCCTTTTTCCCGGTCCCATTGCCTGTGTCCTTGGTGCTGGTGACTGCTCCGCTGTTACCTCACTCTTGCCATTTTCCTCCTGCAGCTGCATCATGAAGCCTCCATCATTAACCTCTTGGAGACAGTGTTTTTTTACAAGGTAAGAGGCAGGTTCAGCTTTCTTCAGTGTAAAGCCCCTGGGGGTGGAAAGCCACATCTGTGGGGGCTGGCCCTCTGTGAAACTCTTGTCATTGTGAAGGAGATCTGCGAGTCAGCAGAGGACAGCATTCTGGATTTAATTGACTATTGCCACCGAAAACTGACCCTGCTCGCAGGTCGGAGCGCCAACGGACAGACAGTGACCCCAGTGGAGCTTCGTCCCGAGGATCTGGCCAGCCCCTCGTCCATGCAGGTGAGGAAAAAGTCCTGTAGCTCATTGGGGACACGTGTGATGGAGGGTGTGGGCAACCTGAAGAGGTATAGGGGGGCCTTCCCATGGAGAACCCCTTGGCTGCAACCCCGACACCTCCTGCCCATCTCAGAGGGCATCTGGCGCTGGTGCTCGTCCACGCCAGCAGCTTGGCTGGGCCGGTGGCTGCACCCACCTCTCTCCACCCCGCAGCCGCGCTTCCACCATCTCTCATGACAGTGCCAGCTTGAGGCTTCCTGCAGGACGTTGTCTGAGCTCTGAGGGGGGGGACGCTGGAGAGTTGACAGATAGGCAAAATATTCAGTATAGGGGTTTTGGCCATTTGCAGTTGCTCTTGAAAGCTGCGTGGGTATGTCTCCCTGGAGCTTGTGAAACCACCTTGGCTCAGGCTGCTGCTGGAGCCAGCCGGGGTTAACCGTGAGAGGGATCCTTCCCTAAATCGATGTACAATACAACTAGGAATTGTCCTAATGTGTTTCCCCCCAACTTCCTCGGCTCTCTGAGAAATACCTCCTCTCTCTGCTGGTCTGGGCAGGCAGCGAGCCCAGAGCTGTTCCCGGGCTGCCGCGCACACCTTCCCAATGCCAGCGCTCTCTTTGCTTCTGGTGCTTCTCAGCACCTTGAGTTTTCTCCTTAAACTGCACACACTACGAGGAGTGTCTGGAGAAGCAGGGTTAAAGTGATAGCCTGCAAGCTTGGCCGTACCTCCCCGCATTGCCTCCATCCTTTGGCTTGTTGCCCGAGCACGTGCTTCTCTTCCAGAAAAGGGAAGGAAGTGGAGGGCTCCAAAGCACAATAGGGATGTTTTCCAGGAAATGTTTTCCCAGCTGGGGAGGGGAAGGGGGTGTCTCTGTTAGTGCTTAGACATGGCTCAAGTTAAAAAAACGACCTTTTCTAGCCAATAGGGTTCTAAAAAGCGCTCGTCTCCCAAGGAGCCTGGTTTCCTCTGATTCATTCCAGCCCCTCCTGACTCTACATACAATAACCCCCTATGAAAAAGCTGTTCCTGCCCTCTCCTGCGTTGTGGAGTGTGTTGTCCTTTGTGACTGTGTATGGTCCTGGAGCAGGACCTGTTCTGCTGTCCCCCAGAAGGACAGGCAAAAGATGGTCCCTGCCTGAAGGTAGCAGAGATGAGGTCTGGATACCAGAAGGAGCTGTAGGACGCAGCCTCACTGGGGAAGTTTGGAGAGGGAGGCGGGGGGGAGGGCCCATAAAGCTTTCTTAGTAGCGTGTGGGGCACCGGCATGGGGAGCGCAGGGCTTATTATCACAGGAATTTGGAAAGGAACTGTTGCAGTGGTGCTTTAGAGAAATAGGAGTTGCTGAGGTCAGTGCTCTGCACACAAAGATGTGAGCTGCTGAGTGTCTGGGACTGGAGAGGAGAAGCTCTGCCTGGGCCAGGGAGAAGGACTTGGCGCCTCTCAGCCTAGCCATCCCGATGGTCTCGAAAGAGGCTGAGTCAGAGGGTGGTCAGGCTGTTAGCCTGAGCACGCGGGGGGTGAACGGGGGATCCACTCTGCCTGGGAAGGGAAGGAGG